TTTTCAGGTATTTTTTTTTTAAAAAAATAGCTAGGATAATAAAGGGGACAAAATTCTTGAAAACATACAAAGCCTGTATTGGAACCAACACAGGTACATGGGATTCTGGACTGGAGCAAGCCCTTTTTGGCTTCTTTTGTTGTTTTATTCACCTATAAACTTTATTACTCCACTTCCTAAAGCTATATTGATGGGGATTTTGAGGAAGGAGGGTGAAAAATTATGCTTTAACAGTCAATATAAACAAACTCTACTCATTTTTTTTTTTCTAAATTAATCCAAAAAATAAAAAATAAAAATAACAAGTGTGTGCACACACACATGCCATGTGGAAGTGATTATATTTTCATGCAAGGAACATAAAAAAAAATAATAATAATAAACAAAAAAATAAATGAAGGACCAAACTTAACTGCCTTCTTGGCACTGCTTCACATTGAGCAGCAAATAAAGAAATGAACTGTAGAAGAATGGCCACCCGCCCCAAATGCCAACACAATTTCAATCTCTTCATATTCACCAAACAGAAACTAAAACCTGTTTTCCCAATGAAAATTCAAACACATGTTCATACATAACTATCAATGGCTGTATATATAAATATATATGTTGTATATCTAATGTTCTTGATTAACTAACAAAACCCAGGATAAAAATTTGTAAGATTAAGTAAATCAAGAAAACACATTATGTCTTAAAAACTTATATTACCTCTGCAGGAACAAAAGCTGGCAGTGACTGTCCAAGTTCTTGTAATAAAAATGATTAATGGGCTAATTGAGTTATATTGGTGATTGAGTTTAGGTGAGAGGTACAATGAAGGAAGGCCAAGAGTTTTGTGGGCACTGTGTGGAGAATGTGAATGTTTTGAGCAAAAAGTTAATGGAGAATTGGTAAAATTCTCATCAAGTCTAAGGCAATTTATGAATATCTCTTCAAAATGGCTAATGCATATATATAGATTATAGAGAGAGGAGCAAATATACCATCTTGAATAAAATATGCATGAACATTCATTAGCTTTGTTGAAAAAGTAATGCTCCAAATCCTTAAACAACTTTTTGGTTCCCCACAATGTTTGTTGGTTGCCATTTCCTTTTTGTATTTCTTAGTATTTTTCTTTGTCACAAATTATATAGCCTAGCTATAGGCAAATTACTGCTGACAGACTTATTAGTTTCAGTAGTAAGATTTTGTTATAATTATTGTTGGACTTATAAGAAGGAATACATTAGAGAAAGCGGTTATTAATGGGCCACTCTTATGTGAGGCTCGAATGCGAGCCTGATCGAGTATATAAAAGGGAAAATTCGTGTTACATACATAAATCTAAACATATTTTTGTAGTCCATTTGAGTATCGGTTTTGTGATATCTATTTTTTGTATAACTAGTAAAGTGCACGTGCGATGCACGTGGTATCGAATGATTTTCGCTGAATAAGTTTGTAAAATAAATTAATTTATTTATTAAACATATCATTGCAGGAATGAAATAAAATATAGAACAAATGAGTTCATATGTGATTTTTTTTTATTTAGAATTAACGTAATGATGTTCTAATATAAAAAGAGTGAAATAACGTTTTAAACCCCCAACTAAAATATATAAAAAACAAATCCTTAATACAAAAAAAACTAAGATTTTCTTTCATCTTTCTAATAAGAACCATTCATACTCGCTGGAGTCCAATACATCAATATTATTACAAAATTCCTCTTAATTCATTTGGCAAAACTCTAATTTTATTCAAACACTTAAGAAACATTCTGACCCAACATATAGTCAAACTTCATGATCGTAAAAAATATGAAGTATTTCAAAATAAAAAAATTTAATGATAGAAAGTAATGTGTTGATTCCAGGAACTCCCTAGCCACTCCTTAAATTTTTAATTAAAAAATTTTAAGATTAACATACCCAATTTTTAAAGATATATATATATATATATATATATATATATATTATGTACCTAAAAGTTCTAGTTAAAATATATGTGTATCTTAAGTATGTTTTATAAAGTAATGCTAAGGAGCCAACTGTTGGCTTCGTTGGCTCCTTAGCATTACTGATGTTTTATATTTCTCATTAGCTAGCTCCAATTGATATTGTAGATTAAGTAATTTTATCAGTATTTTTACTCTTGGATTTAATGAGAGCTATAAGTTTTCTCATCATTCTTACCACTTATTTAGTTATTCTAATACTATTAAATAATTAAGGATCTTTCAAAGTATCTTGTTTGTTTTGAAACAAAAATTACTTATTATCATAAATTAAACGACAATTACATTGAATGTGTTATATTTTCTATCATATCAAAATTTTCGTAATAATAGTTGCACACAATATTATATATAATGCATTTTTTTTATATAGATTTGGAGTCCTACTTTTACTACAACAAAATAAGAAAATTCCAACGAAAATTACAACAAGAATATAACGATCTTCTTAAGTTGAATTGAGAAAAATTATGTCTTTTGGTTTCTTAAATATATTTTATCTTATTGTGATTGTATTGATTTATGAAAATGTATAACAAATGAGAAAGGTGATAGATGATGTAACGTATAATTTATAAATTACAATGACATGCTCTTTTGATGATATATTTTTTCTATTAACTAAATAATGCCCCCAATATGAAATTATTTTGAATCTAACACTGCAATTAGCTCTCCAATGGAATTTCCATTGAATTTTTGCACTATTCCAATGACAGTTTTTCCAACGATTGAATATATGGTCCAAAAAAAATTCCAATGGAAATTCAAGTAATTGAAATCTTTAAATCCACTAAAGTTCATGTAATTTAATTTGAACTCAGTAGGAATAACCAATGAAATTTTCCAATGAAAGCAATATTTATGAAATATTCGTTGGAATTTTCTGTAGTATACCTTACCGTTGAATTTTTCATTGCAATATAGCAATTTGTTGTAGTCCTCTTAAACATTAATTTTTTATGTAATATTTATTGATTAATAGTGTTTACAATTTTTCTATTAAAATATATTAAAAACATGAACTTTTTAGTTCCTATATTTTTTTTTTCCAGAAATCACTCATTATTTTATCTCAAGATTACCTATTAATTTACCAATTGAGTTACATTTCTTACATATTAAATATTTAAAAATTAGAATATTTCTTATTTTATATGTTCAATATGATATTTATATATTATATTAAAAAAACTAATATAGCAAATAAAAAGTTGTTTAAAATTAGAATAATAGAGATTTGCTTTTGGTAACTTACATGGATAAATGGACAAATAACTTTATCTATCACATCAAATTTACACATAAAGTTATAAGGACAAAAAACTAACAAGCGTTTAACAACTCAGCTCGTTTACATTGATAAGTATATTTATAAAAGGTTTATATTTCTTCTAATAATTATAACATTTTTATTTATTACTTTGTTTCATATTTATTAGTACGTGTCACAACTTATTTATTTTTAATATTATTTATCATATTTAATATTTTTTTAAACTTTTATCTTGTTATTTTACATGTTATTAACTGTAGATTTGTCAAAAAATGCATAATATAAAGTCTAGAATTTTTTCGTTCATCTGTCTCATTATATATCAATTATTTCTATATCTTATATTATATTATATTTAATTACAATCTCTTTTTAATTTATACTATAATTGAATATTTATAATTCATAAATTCCTCAATAATA